AGAAAAGTCAAAATCATGCAAATTGAAATTAAAAACCTTAATAATTTTGCCACATTGCAATAAATGTCTCGTGCATGCACAGGTAGATGTTATATAAATACAGAAAATCAAATATTAATTTTTACTATAATTTCCATCAAGAACGGATCACATGGATGACAAGTGGGCCCACTTTGATTGTGATATCCAATGCCTCAATTATCAAATTGGGAAATGGTAATGCTATTTATTATCACCTAAACTAAAAAATAATTAATTATGAATATTATTATTCATTCAAATGTGACTCGTCCTTACAATCGAGCAGTCAAATTGTAATAGAATTCAAATTTAGAAAAATCAAAGTTCAGCTATTAAAATGAATTCAAATTCAAATGTGACCTACATTGTGGGATCCACACACTTGTGAGAGGGTTGTGTACCAAGTATAACGTTTCTCTAGCTAACAATTCTGTGATTGTAGTCTCACTATAGTTTGTATATACTATCATGTTGGATTAATTGTTTTTTTCAATTTTGCTAATATAATATATGACAAAATTATAAAAATGTGTTAAAAAATATTCTAAAATCAACTTGATAGGATTTCATTTCATTTTTTATGTATTCAGTTAACCCACATGTTCTTTTTTTTTTGGTCAAACGGGTGGGTGGTTTACTTTTTTATTGCGCGGGACCCATCCTCATGTGAGAGGGTGTAAGACTTTTGTAATTTTTTTTCTTCTATGCAAATGAAAATTTCCCAAAAAAAAAAAGAAGAGTAGAAGAAAGAGGACAGAAGCATATCCAAATAAAGCCAATTGCACTTTTTGGTGATAAAGAAATGATAGAATCATGTACATTTCGGCAAGAGCCACGTGTTGGAGGTAAATTTTTAGTAAATAAAGTTTGTGAGTCCCACAAAATAGTTGATTAAAGAGCGAATAAAACGTATGATTAAAAATGAAGTTTGATCAAATTTTGTTAGCAAAAATTAGCTCCACCAAACAAACTCGAAACCCTAACCTACAGTTTTTATTAAAAAAAACAAGAGTTTTTCGTCCCTATTCGTCCGGGGCCATAGCAAAACTCAAAAAAACAAAGGCCACTGTCTTCTTATTATGATTTATTAAGGAAATGTACTTCAAATTGGACATTTCCCACAAACAATGCATTATGTCTTTATTGTTTTGCTAGTTGGTACCTAAACAAATTAGGACACTCCATACACCCATCAATTTTTTACATGCAATTTCAATATTATATTAAGTAATTGACAAACTAGATTATTGAGAACACAATATTAGCCTTGTCGAGCTATAATATATTAAATATTACGTCAATTGAGAATTATATTTTGAATTATTTTAACTCTGTTACCATTCAATTATTTTAATAATATGTTACTTTTCATTTTTTAATATGTAATAAATACTATAAAATCATTGTCATGTATGAATTTTGTGTTATTAATTCTCAACTAATCGACACTCACATTAATTTAGACTCGAAAAATCCTGACTTGATGAATTTTGATTTACATGAATCTAGAGTTATTATAAATGATTTTATTTCTATTCACGTATTTAGAAATTTTAATGGATGTTTAAATTCATGTATTAACAATTAATTTTTATATACCAAATACAGTATAAAAATGTTGTTCATTTATATTATTTGATCATCACTAAATTTATTTTCTTTAGTTCATTTGAGACTTATTAAAATTTTCTTACAAATTGGTATCAAATATTACTCGTTCAGCACTTATAAAGTATTATAAAATAATTTGCTCGTATTTTTTTTTTCCCTCTCTTCATTATTTACTACCTTCAAATACATAAACACACAAATTATAACAGTAAGGGTCGATTTCTTACATCCACTCATCTTTTAAAGAGATTTAGTACTGGTGTCACGTAAACAATAGAATTAAAATGAATGGGTAGAAGTTTAAATCACAAGGTAAATTTTTGGTTAGGAAATAATAAAGGGAGTTTCTTTAAAATATTTTTGAAAGAAAACTATTTTCATTCTTATCATTGCTTTGGTGACTTGATGATTCTCACAAAATTTCCTCAATGTTTCTCTTGAGCTCTCTATTATTAAAATGCGCGCGCACACATATATATATTATCCTGTTTATCTAAATTTTCAAGTCTTTTAAATTAAAAATAATGAATTTTTTTGGCATTGATAGTAAAACAAGAAAAATTGCACTATAGATCCTCAACTTACGGAGGCCGGCCCTCCCCAAATGGTCAATTCACGTTGGTAGCACATTAAAGGTCCGTTTGATAGGTTTAAATTTCATGGAAAATGTCATGTCAGAGGAATTCAATTTCTACTTTGACTGTTTGATATGAAAGTGAAAATGGAATTCGAATTCCCAGGTACAACTATTTTAAACTTGTTTTTTGATAATCTCATGGAAAATGCATTCATATAGGGTACTTAAGTTTTTATTTTCCAACTTATATGAAATTGAAAATGTTTTCCACATTTGCCAATTAAATGGACCCTAACTTTCACTAGAAAGTTAAACCGTTAAAAAGTCACGCTATTATTGAATAGACAGATGGTGATAGTGTAGATATAATGTCGATGGATTGTAGCATGTGATGGTGTGTGTAGTAGATACGATGTCGATGGATCGAGGCACATGGTCGTGCTGGGATTGGGGACAAGCCATGATGGGGGTAACAGTTGGGAGAAGAATGTTAACGAAATTTGAACTTGTTTAACTATCAAATAGTAGAATAAAAAAAAATAAAAAAATAAAACATATTTGGAAAGTCGAGAATCAAAATGTCAAGACATCCTCAGCAGTAACTTACATTAGAACATAAAAGGTCAAAAAAGTGTTTGTCTGCATATGTTCATTTCAACTTTCAAGTTGCAAATATGTAAACGGTAAAACTACCAGTGTATAAGAATAATCCAACGATACTGTAAAAATGGAAGCCGCAAAACCCATGTTCTGTCGTCATCAGTTCCACCTCCAGTCCAACCTTATCACTGTTCCATCTCTCGCTTTCTTCCTGCGCCTCTCTTACTCCATGATCATTGTAGTAGTCCTCACTACTGCCCATTGTTCAAATCATGAATTATCCTCCCAAATTCATTTCTGGACCTTTGAGAAATGCCACTTTTTTCTGTTTCCCGGTCCTGTTTATGCTCATTTTGGTTGATTCTGTGTTGGGATTTGGGACTATGGACTCCATTTCTGCGTCGTTTGGGGATTATGGGCTCTTTTGTGCCATTGATGCCAGTGGAAAGCAGGCCGTGATTTGTTGGGACACCAAGAACAGAAACTCGACAGATTCGAATTCCTTGCGTTATTCCTCCAACCTGCCTCCGATGGCTGCACTCTCGGGTGGAGATGGGTTTCTGTGCGGAATTTTGGCGAACACTTCGCAGGCCTTTTGTTGGGATCCGAAGGATCCATCGTCAAACTCTGATCTGGTTCTTCCGGTACTTCAGTTTAATGCTTATTCTCAGATTGCTGCTGGTAAGGATCATATTTGTGCAGTTAGAGGATCTTACTATTCGAAAAATTATTTTGGTAGCGTTGATTGTTGGGACATTATTAGAACATCAAATAACAGTTTAATCTCAAAACAAAGTGCTCGGTTCTATGATCAGTACATTAGTAGTCTTGTGTTTGAGAAAATTGTTTCTGGTAATGGATTTAGCTGCGGATTTATGAGGGATGGAGGATTAAAGTGTTGGGGTCCGAATTCTGGTACTCTAGGGGTTTCAGGTACGTCAGATAACTATGTGGCCCTAACTTCCGGAATTGACTCTATTTGTGGGGTTTCGGAGATCTCTGGAGAGATCAAATGTTGGGGTCGGAATGATTCATTTGTTAATCTGCCCGTTGGGATTAGACTCGTGTCAATGGCAGCTGGTGCACAACATTTTTGTGGGATCAGAGAGGACAATCATGAGATAGAGTGTTGGGGGAACTTCAATGCATCGCTGATCCCAAAGGGATCTGGTTTTCTCGCGATTGCTTCATCCGACTATCTTACATGCGGTATTCGAGAAGGTGATTTGGTACTTGATTGCTGGTTTGCCAATGTTTCATCGCCAGTGGATTATGATCCTCCATTGCAGTTGTGTAGTCCAGGGTTGTGTACCCTTGGTACTTGTGGTGAAGGAATGTTTTATTTCAATGCTAGCCTTCTAAATGAGCCAGAATTGACAAGCTTGTGTGCTAGGAAAGATCTAAAGATTTGTTTGCCATGTGGGAGCAATTGTTCTGAAGGATTTTTCCCTTCTAGTTCATGTACAGAGAATGCAGACAGGATTTGTACACCCTGTTCTCTCTGCCAGAACAGTTCTTGTTGGGATATTTGCAAACTTCACTCCTCATACAAGGTGCAGCAGCAGCACTGGAATCAGCTGCCTCAACTACTGATAGTAGTGGCCTCTTGCATGGCAGGTTGCTTGTTAATTATGTTTGGCTGGTGTCTTTTACCCCGTACTGTAGCCCCAGAAAGCGAAGAACGGAAGAATAGAAAATTTGCTTCCTGCATTCGTAAGCCTGAGCAGGAAATGGATGCAAATGCCGATCAACATCCTCCAGCATCTGTGGCACCATGTTCAGAGGTAGCTCAAGTTTTCCGGCTTTCAGAATTAAAGGACGCAACTAATGGGTTCAAGGAGTTTAATGAGCTGGGAAAGGGAAGTTATGGTTTTGTCTACAAAGCTGTCCTCCCAGATGGAAGACATGTGGCAGTGAAAAGGGCTAACGCCGCTACAATAATCCACACGAATAGCCGTGATTTTGAAATGGAGTTGGAGGTCCTTTGCAATGTTCGACATAGCAATATTGTGAACTTGTTGGGTTACTGCGCAGAGATGGGGGAGAGGCTATTGGTTTACGAGTTCATGCCCCATGGGACACTTCATGATCACCTCCATGGGGGCCTTTCTCCTCTGAATTGGAGCCTCAGGCTTAAAATTGCCGTGCAGTCAGCAAAGGGACTTGAGTACCTACATAAGGAAGCTGTACCTCCTATTGTGCATCGAGATGTTAAGAGTTCGAAAATTCTTTTGGATGCTGATTGGGGAGCACGAATTGCAGATTTTGGGCTTCTGACTCCACAGGAGAGGGGTCTTAATGCAGACATGAGTACTGATGTCTACAACTTTGGAATTGTGCTGCTTGAGATTCTTAGTGGAAGGAAAGCTTATGATGCGGACTGCACGCCCCCAAACGTAGTAGAATGGGCAGTCCCTCTTATTAGACAGGGTAAGGCAGCTGCCATAATTGATCGATATGTGGCTCTGCCTCAAAATGTTGAACCCCTTTTAAAACTTGCCGATGTTGCAGAGCTCGCTTTGAAGGAAGATCCCAAAGAACGGGCGACTATATCGGAATTGGTTCTTTTGTTAGATCAGTTAGTAAAGGATGGATTGATACTGTAGTGTTAAAATGGATTTCTACATCTTTGGGATAATATTGTTCAAGAACGAGAGAGAGAGAGAGAGAGAGAGAGAGAGAGAGTTGCTTTTAGCGAATATTACTCTTCTGCAAGTGTACATTTCTTTTTGGCTTCTTGTAAATTGTGGCTCAGACAATTGGCATCTTATTCGTTTGAGAAATCGGGGTAAAAAGAGTCTTTTTTTCTATATAACTTTTTCCATCAACATGAAGAGATACAGTTATGGCATTAGCCTGTCTTTGTTCATACGAGGTTTATGGATGCTAGTCGGCTTCTACCTGTGCTGCTCACATAAATATTTTTAAGGCCCGAATTGACGTAACTTTTACTTTTGTTTTTTAAAAATTATAAAAAATCAGGCATTTAATTTTTCAAATTCAAAATTCATGTGTGAATTTTATTTAATAAAAAAAATCAGGTANTTCAGGTGTGAATTTTATTTAATCAAAAATTAGGTAGTGAATTAATAATTAAATCAAGTATTAAATATTATATATCCAATCCCCCCTCCCCCCTCCCCAAATTTCTCAAATCTAATCCAAACCCTAAATAATTCAGTTCTCTCCCCTCTCACCACCGTCCGCCGCCTCCCTCCCTTCTCCTCTCTGCCGGCGTCGCGACTCTGTTGTGAACAGCAGCAGCAACACGATGTTGTCGTTCACAGCGTCAAGGCGCTGCTCGCTGCTGCATTCACAGAAGCGTCGAGACACCGCAGCGGCGTCGCGACACTGCTATGAGTGTTTGGGTGCCGCTCGACGCCTATAAACAACATGCCCTAGCATTATTCTTATTTTTCGTCTTTTTATTTTATTTTATTTTATTTGGTTGGGCGACGTCGCTACTGTGGGTGTTTGGGTGCAGCTCGACGCCTGTAAACAACATGCCCTAGCATTATTCTTCTTTTTTGTCTTTTTTTTTTATTTGGTTGGGCGTGGTATTGTGTTCAGTGTTGGTGTTGGTGTTGTGGTGATTGGGTACTGTTGTGGTGTTGGTGGTGTTTTTGTGTTGTTAGGGGATTTTAGGTGATTTTTATTGGTTATGCAGGTAGTTGTGTTGGTGGCTATGGCGGATCTGGCGGTGGTCGTGGTCCAGGTGGTTGTGATGGTTTCTGCCAGTGGTTATGTCAACGGTGGAGACGGTTATGTTGAGGTGGTGGCCTGCTTTGTTTGGTGGCTGTGGGTGGTGGTGGTGGCTGAAGTGGTGGCAGTGGTATGTGATCAAGTATTTAACTGTGACCTAAAAATTTGACAATGTGATTGAAAAATTATCTGTGACCAATAAATTTGAAAATATGTGATCAATAAAATTAATCATTTTTTTATCTATGACCTAAAAATTATATAATCTGTGACCGTAAAAAATATGTGACCAATTAATTTGGAAATTTGTAACTGTGTGACTTATAAATTTTGATTTGTGACCAACTAATTTTGAAATCTGTGACCAACGAATTAATTGTGACATATAAATTTTTTGAACTGTGATTGTAAATTGTAAATATGTGACCAGAATGGTCACCAGAATAATTGTCGGAATCGGAGCAGTCGCCGGAGAAGAGTGGTGGTCGGAATGGTCGCCGAAATAGTCCCCGGAGCGGTATGGTTGGTGCATGTGGAATGAGTTAATTATATTATATTAGAATTAAATATTTAATAATAAATTGATTTAATAATTTATTATTTCATAAATAAAAAATAAAAAAAAAACCTGATTTTTGAATTTTCAAACTATAAACCTGATTTTTGAATTGGTGTAAAGTATACACCTTATTTATGAATTTTTTCCTTTGTTTTTGCTTCTTGTAGATGAGACTTTGGNAAAGATAATTGTGACCTATAATTTTTTGTGACCAATAAAATAATCTGTGACCTATAAAATTATTGTAAATTATATGTGACCTAAAAATTATATAATCTGTGACCGTAAAAAATCTGTGACCAATTAATTTGGAAATTTGTAACTGTGTGACTTATAAATTTTGATCTGTGACCAACTAATTTTGAAATCTGTGACCAACGAATTAATTGTGACATATAAAATTTTTGAAATGTGATTGTAAATTGTAAATATGTGACCAGAATGGTCACCGGAATAATTGTCGGAATCGGAGCAGTCGCCGAAACGATCGCCGGAGAAGAGTGTGGTCGGAATGGTCACCAGAATGGTCGTCGAAATAGTTCCCGGAGCGGTATGGGTGGTGCATATGGGATGAGTTAATTATATTATATTAGAATTAAATATTTTATAATAAATTGATTTAATAATTTATTATTTCATAAATAAAAAATAAAAAAAAACCCGATTTTTGAATTTTCAAACTATAAACCTGATTTTTAAATTGGTGTAAAGTATACACCTTATTTATGAATTTTTCCCTTTATTTTTGCTTCTTGTAGATGAGACTTTGGAAGAATCTACAATGGATCAACTTCTTCTAAAAGCCCTTATAACTATAGGAAGCACTTTCATAAAATTAATCAAATGGGTCCAAAAGTAACTTTTGGGGTTCAAAAACTCTTTTTGACTTTTCAAAAGTCATGTCAAACGGACCCTAAGACTATGACCCTGTTTGTTTCGGATTAAAATTAGATTTAAATTTAAGTCAAAGTCAAACAATCAATATTAATCACATTTTCATGGGTTCCACAGTTTTTCAACGACATATTTTAAAAACTTCTATCACAATCTACTAAAAATCTAATTTTAATCATCACCAAACACCCACATATATGTAATTGTTTGAGCTTTGGAAACAAGTTCATTTAACTAGCTTCAATTCGTCTCATAATTGGAAAAAAAAGAGTGTGAAGTAAAGCACTTTCGATGCAATTCACAGCTCTAGGGCTGGGCAAAATGTCCGAATCGAACCGGAATCGAACCGAGCGGGTTTT